ATATATATATATATAATAAAAAATTTTTTTACGAAAATGTCCATTTTCTGTTCCTGGGTCAACTCAGATCTGCTGTGGATAATGTGTTTTATGAAGTAGTCTGCAATTACTTTTGGGTCACTGTTGGTGTAATTGTCTTCCATCCACATTATGAGATAACTAAAAACATCAATGCAGCCATTAATTGCAGTTAAAGTAAAAGGTCATTGCAGCAATTACTTATTCTTGAAACTAAAAAAGAAAATCCTCTTAGTGTGGCCCTAATACTCTGTTGTACTTTTGCTTAGAAGACTATGCGTACAAAATCTCTCACTTTTGTAATAAAACCCTGCATTGAATCCTTATACTGAAATAATTAATGCTGAAATAATTCTGTATCCTGTGAAAGTTTTTGACTTTAATACACTCAAATGACAGTAGGAAAAAATGCCTACCTCTTGGTTTCTTGTCAAAATTCTAGTTAAAAAAACGGTAATGTGCCAGGTCTGAAGGTGGCCAATTAGCCATCTTGGGTGGTCGCAAGAGGACAAGCTCTGRGAGCATTCACACAAACACATACCCTTAAAGGGGTTTGCAAAATATGTTGGTTACCTGCAATTTCTGTAAAAATTAAAATGCAGACCTTTTTAAATTACATTAAKTAAGGAAATGCATAATTTCTTTGTAGCAATGCTTCTTGGCAATGAATCTTATATCAGGCACCTGATTKGCAGCACYGGGGGGAGCAGAAGCTCAAAACATTAGTCCATAACAACTGTTTATTGGAGAACATTTGACCAATTTTTGATGTGCACAGCTCACATACTCAGCTCTACTGCTCATCCCACAAATGCWTGTTCCTTACTAATGYGGCACCATTTAAAAGGGAAATTCAGGSTTTCCAACTGCAAGATTTATTGCCAAGAAGCATTGTTAAAACAAAGAAATAAACTACCAAGGACAAATTTACRTACTTTTTGTGTTACGTTTATTTTAACGTATTAWTACAGATAAGGCATATGAGAAATGCATCACAATAATTAGTGACTTCATAGAGCTCTGTCAGAGCAAAGACTGAAGTATTTAACCAATAAAAATCCACTGCAGTGTAACACTGCATTCATRGCTGCCAACTGYTTTACACAGCTTCACTGTGAACGTGACATCAGCACTGTTTAGTTGCATGACTATAATGGGACAAAATGCTGCTCATCCTGTTGTCTTGTGATTGACATGGCACATCATGGCACATTATGGCATATGATGACGACAGCAGGTCCAAAAACAACCTTAACAAATGGGAAACTGAAGAGAAACACAGTGCAGTGTCTCACTTCACTAATATAATCACAGCAACAAAWTGAGAAGTATTCTTATAAATAAAACTGCTTCATTAATTTGTTCTAAGTTATTTTGGACAAGTGCCTCTTTTAAATTAAAGAATTGTAGCCCAATAAACAGACAGGTACAGGGAAGTGTGTTGATCTGCAGGAGAAGATGAAATGAGGAAGACAAGTGCCAAGTAGGGTTCTACATACTGCATTGTCTAATGGAAAAACACCATTGCATACAGAGTGTGTGTTTGTAGGAAAACTGCCAAGATCTTCTACCTTACTGTGTGTGAAGATGTTCACGTGTTTATTGGCCTTCTCTCTTTCTCTTCCCCTCCCTGTGCGATTCTTTCTCTTCCTCCCAGCTGATTACAATGAGTACAGCAGCAGCAGYAGAGCAGCTGGGATGAACAGCAGCGGCCCCTCAAAGCTCGTGGACCCTCTGGAGGACCCGCTGCCTGGATTGGGAACCTATGAAGACTTCAATACCATCGACTGGGTCAGAGAGAAGAGCAAGGACCGAGACAGACACAGAGAGGTACAGAAGAGGCATGCTTTTTATTTTATTTTATTTATATTTTTAAAATAAAAGTGAAGGTTTCATTTGAAAAGTTATCCAATACAAAAAAAAAAATCATTAACTTTGATTTTTGAAAGCGTGCACTTGTCTCGGTGCTACTAAATCAGAGAAGATGCATCTTCATTGATCRTGAGGATAAAAATCGATGTTTTACTTCTGCAGAAGAAGCAAATGCAGAAAATAAATCTTTCCGAAGCACAAGATACATTTATTTAACCACAGCTGTTCACTTTTTTTTTCATCTCAGCAATCTTGACATTATGCTAATTAGGTATTTAAAATCTATTAAACAATTCACTGTTACCAGTAAAGTAAAAATAAAAGGTTTTGCAGATTAAGCAGGACAAGAAATGGKTTAAGGATTCCCAAGTTTTTAATGTGCATCCTTTCAGATCACCAATAAGAGCAGGCAGTCRACTGTAGCTCTGCTGCACAGCATCAGCGATGCCTTCTCTGGGTGGCTACTCATGCTGCTGGTGGGCCTCATGGCAGGTACAGWACAAAATACATTATTCAGTTTCAATCTAAGTTGTTTGTAAATATTTCTCTGTTTGGTGTAATGGAGATCAAACTGTGACCAGACCTCAGTCCAACTCAGAATCTCTGGTTTGACATAAAGCTTCACCAAGCCAACCTGAAGAACCTGCAGTGGTTTGATCATGAAGAACMAACAACGCCGGGCAGCTGGGGAACGTGTAGCTCGGTCAAAACGGCCAGAAAGCACCTGTGTTTTCAAATATTAACTTTAGTCGTAACTCAAGATACGAAGTAGGGGAGCAACGATACAGAAAGTTTTCCGTTCGATACTTTAGTCTCACGGTTCAGTATTTTTTCGATACAAAAAAGAGAAATGTCCATGCCCCCTTTAACTTGTAATTTATTGAAATTAATTATGAACATTTGTTTAACCTCAAAAGTACAGTTTTTAAATTAAATGTTGCTGAAACAGCAAGTTTCTCAGTGGACCTGCACTAGAAAATGCAGCCTAGGTGGAGTAGTCGAACACAGATCCACTGATCCTTTAACACAGAGCACCTTCAGAAGACAAGTTGATAAAATAAATCTTAAAAATCTGTATTGTTGTATAAGTAATGTGTATTGAACGGTTCGATACRGGTACATCTGTTGTTGCACCCCTAACAGGAAGGTGCTAGCCGTGCTACATTTGAAGTCGATAAATTCTATTTACGTGTTCACAATATTACTACTACCATTACTTGATCATTTAACTTGCCCCACAAGACRAAAYCAATCAGTTTTGCCAAACTCCGCCCACTCAAACGTCCACCTATATTCCAAATTCTACCAATCACGGTCTGGACAAACTCCACCCACACAACAAGAAACTTCCCCCTATGCACTGCAGAAACCCTCTTCTTGAACAGTTTGGCGTCCTACTGTACACTGCAGAGTGCAGGATGTGGATCTCTGCTGTACCCTATAACCCTGACAGTACTATAAAGAGTTCCTGGAAACCGTTTGGACTCTACCTGGGTCAATTTTTGCCTGCAGCAGCTGAAAGAGGAATCCCATGTGGGGTCAAACAGCAGGTGTAGAACCAGCATAGCATAAACAGGAAAAGCAGGGAGATGTATATTCTTTAGACTAAATGAATCATCACATAAAACAATCATAGGCAGTAGATTGGGTTTCTGCAGGACATCTTGAAAAGTTTGTTTATAGGAGAACCACGTTTGTGACAAGGTTATCCTAAACTATAGGAAGTGATTCAGGTTATAAGGGTTTACACCAGATATACAAATTATTGGGCAGTTCTGAGACGCGGGCCCACACTCGATGTCGGATCTCAGAAGACCTTATGGTAAAAACGTGAATCTGGTACAAAATTACAAGAGACAACAGCAACTTTCAGTTTGAATTGTATGAACAGCAGCATTTCGCAGAGACTTAATTAAACAAATCTGAGAGAAATGCAATAAAACTGACGGTTTACAAATGTGGATTTAAGGACACCTCAATATGAGAAATTGTACAGATTTGTTATTTTTGACAGCTCTTCATGACATTAGTTTGAGTACTTTCAACAGATGTTACCAAAAATGTCAGTGTAAGTTTGAATGGACCACCCGAACGCAGTCCTCTACTTGTCTTCATTCTGACTCCTCTGCTCTAGGTGCTCTCGCGGGTGGCATCGACATYGCAGCCCACTGGCTGACGGACCTGAAAGAAGGGATTTGTCTCATCGGGTTCTGGTTCAACCACGAGCACTGCTGCTGGACGTCCAACGAGACGACGTTCCAGGAGAGGGACAGGTGCCCTCAGTGGCAGAGCTGGGCCGAACTCATTGCAGGAACCTCAGAGGTACAGTATATATTAAAAAAAGAGACTATCTCCAAATTGAGGGTTGCAGATTTTTGTATTTTTTAGACATTTGTTAAATAAAWGCTGCTGCTTGTTGACCTCTAACRTTAYAGTGAMGCTTGGGCTCCATCTACTGGCTGTGAGGTTCAATTGTTAAAATAAAAATGACACCATTATTTAAGGGTTTTGTTCAAACTCTGGTTTCCTCCCACAGACCAAAAATGTTTGTGGGTTTCATTGGTAACTCTAAATTGTGTCTAGGTGTGGATGAGTGTGTGAATGGTTTTGTCTCTGAGATGGACCTGTCTAGGGTCCCCATGACCTGAAATRGAAAGAGGGTAAAATAGATGAACGAATGGTTTGTCTACATTTTAAATATAGGGTTTATTATTTAATTGAAGGAAGGCACTAAGAAACATATTTTTGTTTCCTGTTCTCTTTTCAAACCCCTGCAGGGAGCGTCGGCCTACATAGTGAACTACCTGATGTACGTAATTTGGGCGTTGCTCTTCTCGTTCCTGGCCGTCACTCTAGTCAGGGCCTTCGCTCCATACGCCTGTGGATCAGGAATACCGGAGGTGAGTCGACTCAAAAGCCCAACCAGACCAGGGGTCTCATGTACAAAGRCTTGCGTGGATTTCTTACTGAAACCTGACGTACGGTCAAATCCAGAAAACTGCGTACGCACAAATGAATCCAGATGTATAAAACTGTGCGTACGCCTGAATCCACGCACATCGCTTTTGTACGTCACAATTAACGTGGAACTGAGCGCAGATAAGACACCTCCCCTGACACGCCTTCATTAACATATGTTAAACAGATGCAAATTACTTCCTGCATGTGTGAAGGACACGTTTGAGTGATCCCTGCGCGATCAGAAATGATTTCTAATGTCATAAAAATAAAATATTATATATATAATATAGTCTGAAAATATTAACTTTGTGCACGAGTTTATTACCATAATTACTGTAAACACAGAGGAACTTAAATGTTTGGTAGAACATAGATCTTAGTTTATTTCATAGCTGATATTAAGAAATGAGTCTCTGCTTCTCAGTGGGCAGTTCACATGACGTGACGTGATGTTGGAGAGTCCCCACATGCGTGCGCTGCAGCCTTTGTGCACAGTCTGTCTGTCAAGCTTTTGCTCTCCTACTTACAGCATTTTCACAAGTAGTAAAGTGTACTTCCACGTGTCATTTTGGAGAAATCTACAACAATGTAAACGCAAAATATGAAACACCTCCACTGCCGGCGAGGGTGCGCGCGCTCCAGAGCGCGACCATAACTCAGCCTTTAGAATCATATGGATGAGACGATTCCATTGGTCATGATTCAGCTTTGGGTGGACTGGACTGAGTCCTGATGGGTCTGCCAGCCCTCTGGAAAGCTCCTGTGGAACCCCAGTTCAATCACTGCTGCTGCACGCGTGGTGCATGTGGCTACTCGCTGCGTCGTGCTCCCAGAGCTCAGCAGTGCCAAACTAAAAAAGGATTATTCCTGAAAATGGCTGATGAGCCACTCGTCATCAGAAAATTCTATCTGTTTATAAATAAAAGCTCTGTGTGTCGCACTATTTATTATATCC